AAATTAAAATTAAAACAGAAAATATATATATATATAAAAAAAATTATTGAGCATAGAGTATTATTTAAAACTATAATAATATCTCAATGATACAAAAATAACATTGCTTTTATTTATTAAGGCTGCATTAAATTGATCACATTTTTTATTTCATCTATCATAAAAACAATTAAAACAAACGTTTTCATTACTTGAAATAAAATAAACTTTAACTGAATAAATATTAAAACTTATTTTATTTTTGCTATCATAAAAATCCTTAAAAAAAAGTGAAATGTAATAAACTTCAACTGGAATATACTAAACGTACTAAAATAAAAATGAAAACTACTATCTAAAATATGAAAACTTAAATATTAATTTAAACTTGATGTACTAAAATAACAACAAAATTACTAAAACTTTAACTAAAATTAAAGAAAATATAAAAATGAATTATTTTTGAGCATAAAATATTATTTAAAACTATAATAATGTCTCAATGATACAAAAATAACATTGCTTTTATTTATTAAGGATGCATTAAATTGATCAAAAGTGACTGTAAAGACATTTATAATGTTTCAAAAGATTTCTATTTAAAATAAATGCTGTCTTTAGAACCTGGAAAATAAAATGTATCAATTTCCACAAAAATGTTAAGCGGCACAACTGTTTCCAACATTGATAATAATCAGAAATGTTTCTTTAGCATATTATACTGATTTCTGAAGATCATGTGACGCTGAAGACTGGAGTAATGATGCTGAAAATTCAGCTTTGATCAAGAGAAATAAATTACAGTTTAACAGATATTCACATAGAAAATAGCTGTTTTAAATTAGAATAATATTTCACAATTTTTAGTGTATTTTTGATTAAATAAATGCACATTAAAAAAATTTACCGACCCCAAACTTTTTCTATGAGCAAGGTACCCAGCTAATTAACTATGTCAAGCCATTTCATGCGTAACCAGTTATGTCTGTATGTTCACCTGTTTAACCTTCCTGACTAATACAGTACTGACTTGATCCGGATCAGTGTGGACTGACCCGCTTTTCTCTTCTCTGTAAACCTCTGCATGTCTCTCGGCCGTGAGCAGATCCCTTCGTGCCGACCGCAATCTTAGGTGAGAAAGCCTCTGTTTCTGTTCCACACATGACGGTGTCCTGAGAATAGCTTGTTTGTGTTGACGAGAGACAGACAGAAAGTAGATCTGACGCTTCCTCACATTCATACCTGCCTGCTTTTCTCTTCTGTGTGAGACTTGAGGGTTTATTCCTCCCCGAGCCGAGGCTTCACCCCATCCCATCCGCATTCCGTGTCGTGCGTGTGACGTCACGTATGTCTATGACCTCTCATGTGCATGGACAGATAATGTGGACCGGATGAGGGGGGAGTGACAGTGTGGCACGAACGAATAAAGCGACCCATAATCATTTCCATCAGTGTCTTCAGACGCGCTCTGTATGCTCACGATAGCGTTTAAACACACTTTGTCATTATAAAATAAATTGTGCACATGCCAGTTTTTAGAGAAATACCCATTTTAATGCTAAACGATGAACTAAATACAGCTCCAAATCACTATATTAAATGATATCTTGGGTTCAGGAAGTATTTTTCCCATTCATTCATTCAAAAGACACGGTAACGAGGGAATTCATCTTCTGTTGTCTTCTGTAACGGGATTAGTTCACCCCAAAAAATATAATTCTGAAAATGTACCCGAAATGCATTAAATTTACTAAAATGTTTATAAATTTTTTATATATATATAAAGTCCAAAGTATTTTTAGGTTAGTGTTGTTCAAAATAAAATCAACTGAAGTATACTAAAATAATTGTTTTTTAAATAATATAATTGAATTTTAGCTAGTCGCGACATTTCTCCTATTAATTTAACTTGAAAACTGAAATGCAAGTGAATAATAAAGCAAATAAAAATCATAAAATCACACAACAAAATTACAAAAACGTTAACTAAAATTACTATAAAAACACAATCTTTTTATTCATCAAGGATGCATTAAATCGATCAAAAGTGACAGTAAAGACATGTATATTGTTACAAAAGATTTCTATTTCAAATAAATGCTGTTCTTCTGAACTTTCTGTTCATCTGTGAATCCTGAAAAATACAATGCATCACGGTTTCCACAAAAATATTGTGCAGCACGACTGTTTTCAACATTGATAATAATCAGAAATGTTTCTGGAGCAGCAGATCAGCATATTATACTGATTTCTGAAGATCATGTGACACTGAAGACTGGAGGAATGATGCTGAAAATACAGCTGCGCATCACAGAAATACATTACAGTTTAACACATATTCACATAGAAAACAGCTGTTTTAACTCATAAAAATATTTCACAATTTTTACTATTTTATTTAACTATATAAAGCGACCCATTGGTCATTTCCATCAGTGTCTTCTGTATGCTCACGATAGCATTTAAACACACTTTGTCATTATAAAATCAATCTGGCACATGCCAGTTTTTAGAGAAATACCCATTTTAATGCTAAACGATGAACTAAATACAGCTCCAAATCACTATATTAAATGATATCTTGGGTTCAGGAAGTATTTTTCCCATTCATTCATTCAAAAGACACAAGAATGCGTACTAACGAAATAATTAATCTTCTGTTGTCTTAACGGGATTAGTTAAATAAAAATATAATTCTGTCATCATTTGCTCATTTCTTTCTTTTGTGGAACACAAAAGAAGATATTTTGAAGAACGTTGGGAACCAAACAACTTTGGACCCCATTGACTTTCATTGTATTGTGTTCCACACAAATAAGCAAGTCATGCAGGTTTGGAATGACTTGATTGCTAGTAAATGATGACCAAATTAATGACTCTGGGTAGGTAACTAGCTGTCTAGTTATACTGCGTTCATTCACTGCTTCAGAATCACTATTTACGTCATGATTTTTTTACATCTACAGAAGCAGATCTCAGAGCTTCAGTGTTGAAATTAATGTAGTTTAGTGCTAAATGATTGTGAAAAGGTGAACAAAATTATTTTTTAACAAATCTGTAGGAAAAGTAAAATGTTGAAATACTGTTGTGATACCTACGTTGATTCGATTTGCAAAATCAAAACAAAATTTCACTGATTCAACCTTGATCCATGACATTGCTTCAACTGGGAATAAACGTTGAAATGTGTTGTTTCAACACTGGAAAAACATTTAGTGATAAATAGTTGTGAAAACGTACAAAATGCAATATTTTATTGAGATCTGTGCGAGAAGAGGTTGAAATAATGTTGATTTAATTTGCGAAACTAATATCTTCTACATCCGTGACATTGATTTGCTTGTAAATAAACGTTGAACGGTGGAAAAAAGTTTAGTGTTGAATGCTTGAAAAAGTGAAACACATTTAAATTTTAAGAAGTTTTGTACTAAAAGTAAAATGTTGAAACAACGTTGCTGTATCAACACTGATTTGATTTGCAAAACTGAAACTTTTAAGATGTTGTTAAGTAGGAGCTAAGGGCACTTATGTAAAACTAATGCGGTTTAAATAATGTAAGTTGTTGTTTCAGCGTTAAAAAATAAAAATGAGGGCTAAATGGTTGTAAAAAGTCAACACTGAAATTAAATTGAAACAAAATTCAGCTCTTAATCAGCCTTGATCCATGACATTGAATAAACATTGATCTGAAAGATCTATGGGAAAAGTGCAACATTGAAACAACGTTGCAAGATCAGTGTCATTTCGATTTGCAGAACTGAAACAAATTTCAACACTTGATCCATGATAAACTTTGAAATGCCGGCTTGAATCACGTAACTTCCGAGCTCGTATAGGTCTGTTTAGAAAGTTTTATCAGTTAACGGTGAATGGGATTTTTACTTGGGGAACCCGAGCGTTGAGCAGGTTCAGATTCGGCCTCGTCTCATTCCTTCATTTTGACACCTCAGACGGTTCAGCGCAAGTCAGTCAGAACCTCAGATAGTCTCTGGACTTCATGTGTAGCTGCTCTTGCTTCAACTATCTTGTTGCTTACACCCTTTTTCCTCTCTCTTCCTGTTTTCTTTCTTCACATTTAACCTGTTATGTATCCTCTTAAAAAGTGCCCATTAATGGTAAGTTGCCAATCGGCCCTGTGTTTTTTGGGGGTGACTGTCAGTGGGATCCGCTCCCCCCTCTCCCCTCAAACCGTGTCGCCTCTCTCGCATGGCCTTGTGTCGCATTTCGCCTCCCATTAGCTAGCATTGCCGCCCTCTTCATACATACAGTACAGTGGCAGCCAAAATAATTAGAACGCTAGTATTTCCAGCAGCTAGAAATGGTTTAAAGTCAGTTATTTCTATGTTTTGCTGTAGTGTGTTGATAGGAAATATCAGTTTACATTTGCAAACATTCATTTAGCTATTAATTGTAATAATGCAGTGAGATTTGTGTGCTCCACACAGAGATCTGATCATCATCAGTCTGTCTGGAGTCACATGAAGAAACAGAACTGAGACAGACTCGATCCAGAAGAACTGACGCTTCAAGAAACCTCCTGCAAAGCTCCTGAGAAACTCTGCTCAAGTGCACCGAGGGCAAACGCTGCTTTAAACACAGAGGACGCTCACACCAAATGTTGATTTAATTCAGTTAATAGAAGTTAATTGATCAAGAAAATCTATTTATGACAGCATCCTCATTTTACAGCATTTTTACACAAGTGCCTAAAACTTTTAACAGTGCTGTAGCTTTGCAGAGGTTTCTTGAAGCGTCAGTTCTTCTGGATCGAGTCTGTCTCAGTTCTGTTTCTTCATGTGACTCCAGACAGACTGATGATGATCAGATCTCTGTGTGGAGCACACACATCTCACTGCATTATTACAATTAATAGCTAAATGAATGTTTGCAAATGTAAACTGATATTTCCTATCAACACACTACAGCAAAAGATAGAAATAACTAACTTTAAACCATTTCTAGCTGCTGGAAATACTAGCTTTCTAATTATTTTGGCCACCGCTGTAAATGTGACACCCTCCACTCACCTGCATCCTCAAATGTGCTTTCTTTTGGTTCCCAACCCTGTCGTGAAGGTGCCACATCCAGACATCACCATTTCACCATTCGTGCGACCTCATTTTGACATCGGATAGCCAGTTTCTTTAGCTAGAACAGACGGCTTGGGTTTGTTTCGATGTTACCGGCGTTCTGTTTATGCACACGTTTGGATTCGACTCACCTGTTGTTCTGTGCTCATCTCTTCATGTAGTCGTCAACCTACTGCTCATCCAATCCTTCGCAGTTTTCTTCTGCGTTTGCTGACCGTTTGTCCCTTGCGTTTGTCCCGTCAGACGAGAACCACACCATGAACAGCGAGACCAGCAGCTTGGTTCAGTCGCACACTCACTCCTACAAGAAACGCGAGGCGGTGGATGTCCCATATCAGACGGGACAGCTTCATCCGGCCATCCGTGTGGCCGATCTTCTCCAGCACATCACGCAGATGAAGTGCGCCGAGGGTTACGGCTTCAAAGAGGAATACGAGGTGCATCCTTTTGCTTAATTTCTCTTTAGTTTACTCTCAACATCATTTGTTTCATCACACGTTTGCATGTCGCTGCATGCGGTTTGCATATTAATTTTAACGATGGTAATTGAATATAATCACCACAGGCAAAAACACTCGCCCCAATGTCGTTCCAATCCTGACTTATGTCTTCCGTGAAACACGAAAGGAGATGTTTAGCAGAATGTGCAAGCTTCAATTTACTATGCAAAAAATTTAACTTTTTGTTCAACATCTCTTTTTGAAAGTCATACAGGTTTGAAATGACAACTTATTAATTTTTGGCTGAACTATTCTATTGATATTCACTGCAAAAACTATTTTGCGCAGTATTTTTGTCTTGTTTTCCAGTGCAATTATGTAAAAACATTAACTTAGTAGCAAAGTGACTTACGATATTAAGTTCCTTAACGAGTTTATGCTTAAAACAAGAAAAAACTATTGTATCAAGGGGAACAGAGAAATAAACTTCAAAGGGAAAACATGGACCCCATTAGCAGATATTTTTCTTGTTTTAATCAAAAACTCACATAGTTTTCAGAAAGCAAGACTTAATATACTCTTGTTTTCCAATACAAATATCTAAATATTCTTAAATCAAGATATATTTGCTTGAGATGCAAAATAACTTGTATTAAGTTATAAAAGTTATAAGTCTTGTTTTTCTTAGTTAAGTGAGTTTATGCTTGGAAAAAAAATCTGCCACTGGTGTTGTAAAAATTATTTATTTTCTTGTTCTAATCGTAAACTTGTTTAATTTTCATACATTTTTCATGTCTTAAATCATTTTGCATATAAAGAAAATGTATCTTAATTTAGCAATGTTTAGATAGCATTCTTGTCTTATTTTTAATAGTTAATTTATGTATTTATTTTTTTTTAAATTAAGTGAATTTGTGCTTAAAACAATCTAATATCCAAGTAATTTTGCTTCACAAGTAAAAGTATCTTGATTTAAGAAGGTTTAGATAGTATTTCTGTCTTGTTCTCCCGAATGTTTTCGAATTTCTAAATTATAATTTGTGTTTATTCTTGATTTAATAATATTTTAGATTTTTTTTTAAAGTGTATTATTATCAGAGATATAAACTCAGAATTGCAAGATATAAACTTTTCTTCTGAGCTGAAAAGTCAGAATTGAGATATAAAAAGTAAAAATTTAGATTTTTTATTTATTTTTTTTTATTCCAGGGTGGAAATGATCTTCCATAATATTAAATAAATAAATATAAAACGTAATAAATAACAAAAAACAACCAAATTACTAAAACTTTAACTAAAAATAAAATGAAAACGGCATCAAAAAATAAAAACTAATTTAAAACTGATTCTGATTCACAATTTTTTCAGTTTTAAATCATGGTACACTAAAATTTTACTATTTCTTCAGAGAAACCATGTCATATTATTATTGCTATTTTGTTTCATTATTACACAGTAAAAAAACAATAAAAATTCTAAACTTCTAAAATTAAAATTAAAACAGATTTCACAAATTCTTTGGTTTTTAAATCATGTTACGACACAATGTAACTATTTCTTTAAATAGAAACCGTGTTATCTCTCATTCCAGCCCATGTAAGAATAATATTCAGCATTAGCAACAGTAACCGAGAGGGGCGGAGCTTAGCAAAGCATCAGTTTCTATGAACTCTGCAGTCTGAGCATCTTTCATTAATGTATATTTATAGTGTCAGGATCCAACATTTGAACACCTGACGCTCAAATCGCATTAAAAACTGTCTGAGGAAGTTTATTTGTGGATAGAACCCATCAGAAGCTTCTGGAAAGCTTTACCAGTCGCTGTCAGGCGTCACAGAAAGACCTGGAGCATGCTGGGATGCATAACAATAAAGAGCAGCAGGGAATCGACAACTGCATTTTACAACATGCATTATTAAGTCGGGTCGATGCTTGTTTTATTCATGCTTGTTTTGACATCTTTCAGAGAGCGCGTGTTATTCGGCATCAATTTAATTTCATGACTATGTTTATTAGATTTGATTTCACCTCCTGCTTTTATCCTCAGCGCCACTGAGACGAAACGCAAGTTAATGTTATCGTTCGAGTCGCTCCTCTCGTTCTAGACGAATCCAGATCTGGTCTTTAGCATCGCCACAGTTTGGGCTCATGATTCCGGTCATGCGTCTGATTGGCTGTGGTTTTGAGGCTCAGCCTATCACGGCGAGAGGCCTAGAGGGACAGAGACAGCCTGGAGCTTCCTGCCAGCCATTTCTCCATCCGCTCCATTCCAGAAGCTTATTTATTCAGCACCACATTTTTATATTTCAGAAGATTATTTTCCCATCAAGCAAAGTCTGAAAATCATGATTCTCTCCTGTTTCGCTTCAGCAACTCTTAAAGGGACAGTTCACCCGAAATTAAAAGCACTGTCGTCATGTACTCGCCCCAGTGTTGTTTTAGTGTCACTGAAAACTGTTAAAGTTGTTGGTGATATTTTGAATTGTTTTTTTTTTTATATTTTCTGTTTTCATTTTATCTTTTGTTGAAATGTATGTAATTTTATGTTTTTATTATCTCTATATTTACTATCTTTTTTTAAGTGTTTCAAATAAATTGTAATATTAGTTTTAGATGTTAAATTAAATGAAAATGAGAAATGTTGCCTTTGAAATGAGCTAGAATAAATGTAAAAAACATTTTTAAAAATTGCCCTTTTTATTAGTATTTTAAATTATTTTTGTCTATGTAGTTTTTATCAAGTGTAGTTTTTAGTTTTAGTTTATTTAGTTATTTTAGTACTTCAACTAAATGAAAATGAGAAATGTTGGTTTGGCAACTAGCCAATAAAAATAAAATAAAATAATAAGTTTATTAAATATTTAATTTATTTTAGTTAATAAAAATAACAAAAATAAGATAAACCGTTTTTGTATTTAATTTATTTCGGTTAATATTTATGTTCATTGTATTTGTATTAGAAAAAAAAAATGTTTTTTAATAAATTTAAGATTTTTATATTTAATTTATTTCTGTTAATGTTTATTTTGTTTATTTTATTTGTATTTCATTTTAAATTTTATTTAAAAATATATTTTTTTATATTTAATTTATAATTTTTTTTAAATAGTTTTAGTTTTAGTTAAAGATAATAACCCTGGCTTACCTTAATGTCGTTCTGAACCATTAACACTTTGGTTAATCACAAATGAAGATATTTTTAATGAAGCCTGAGAGCTTTCTGTTCCTCCATTGAAAGGGAACCAAAACCTAAAAGATCCAAAAAGATCATAAATGTGTCGCAAAACGAATCCATGTGAATGGAGCGGTTTAATTCATAGATACAATCATTTTATATGATGAACAGATTTTATTTAGGCTTTTATTTACATCTAAACAATGATCTAAACCTCTCAGGGCATTACAGATATCTTAATTTGTGTTTTAAAGATTGACCAAAGTCTTATTGGGTTGAATTATGATGGAGTTTACATTGCTGGGTGAATTATTCCAGTAAGTTGAACCTGTTTTTCTGCGTGTCTTGTTTTTATACACCAGTAAAAGCACACAGAAGCGCCGTCAGTGTTTGTTTGACAGAATCTGTGCTTCATAACACGTCTTGGCTGTGTAAATACTCTCGGAGGCGTCTGTGTGTGACTGTCTTGAATATTTAAGGAGTGTGTGTGTGTGTGTGTGTGTGTGTGTGTGTGTGTGTGTTGTGGGATATATATATAAACATGTTCAGGGTTTATTCAGTTTCTGTATTAAACATTGCCTTTCATTCGACTATTTTAAAGCAATGTGAGGAATTGTGTTTTTTGTGAAATGTAAAATCTAGAATGGAGTGAGTAATAATGTGTGGCAGAGTGAAGCTCGTGTGTTCAGATGTCAGTCTCGCAGATCACATGTGTTTGTGGTGGATGCCCGTGATTTGCTTTACAGAGTGATCTGTTTGTTCACGAGCTTAGATTCACTCACAACATCGATATGGCGACTTTCTCTCTCTCTCACACACACACACACACACACACACACTCACACACACACACACTCTCTCACACACTCACACACACTCACACACTCTCTCTCACACACAGTCACACACACACACACACACACACACTCTCTCACACACACACAGATACTCACACACACTCACACACAGTCTCACACACACACACACACACACACTCACACACACACACACACACTCTCTCACACAC